GTGCTACCATATACAAACTTCATTTATATCACCAAGATTAGAGCAAAGTTTCCAAGCACTAATGTGTCTGGCTCGGGTTTCTATCGACATACTTCATGTATATTACGAAGAATAGCAGAAAGACTTTGTAGACCAGTGTGTCTGTCTCCTGTTATCATCAACATACTTCTTGTATATCACCTAGAACAGAACATGGTTTATGTACACCGGTGTGTCTGTCTCATGCTGCCATCTACAAACTTCATGTATATTACGAAGAATAGCAGAAAGACTTTGTAGACCAGTGTGTCTGTCTCCTGTTATCATCAACATACTTCTTGTATATCACCTAGAACAGAACACGGTTTATGTACACCGGTGTGTCTGTCTCATGCTGCCATCTACAAACTTCATGTATATTACGAAGAATAGCAGAAAGACTTTGTAGACCAGTGTGTCTGTCTCCTGTTATCATCAACATACTTCTTGTATATCACCTAGAACAGAACACGGTTTATGTACACCGGTGTGTCTGTCTCATGCTGCCATCTACAAACTTCATGTATATTACGAAGAATAGCAGAAAGACTTTGTAGACCAGTGTGTCTGTCTCGTGTTATCATCAACATACTTCTTGTATATCACCTAGAACAGAACACGGTTTATGTACACCGGTGTGTCTGTCTCATGCTGCCATCTACAAACTTCATGTATATTACGAAGAATAGCAGAAAGACTTTGTAGACCAGTGTGTCTGTCTCCTGTTATCATCAACATACTTCTTGTATATCACCTAGAACAGAACACGGTTTATGTACACCGGTGTGTCTGTCTCATGCTGCCATCTACAAACTTCATGTATATTACGAAGAATAGCAGAAAGACTTTGTAGACCAGTGTGTCTGTCTCCTGTTATCATCAACATACTTCTTGTATATCACCTAGAACAGAACACGGTTTATGTACACCGGTGTGTCTGTCTCATGCTGCCATCTACAAACTTCATGTATATTACGAAGAATAGCAGAAAGACTTTGTAGACCAGTGTGTCTGTCTCCTGTTATCATCAACATACTTCTTGTATATCACCTAGAACAGAACACGGTTTATGTGCACCGGTGTGTCTGTCTCATGCTGCCATCTAGAAACTTCATGTATATTACGAAGAATAGCAGAAAATCTTTGTAGACCAGTGTGTCTGTCTCCTGTTATCATCAACATACTTCTTGTATATCACCTAGAACAGAACACGGTTTATGTACACCGGTGTGTCTGTCTCATGCTGCCATCTACAAACTTCATGTATATTACGAAGAATAGCAGAAAGTCTTTGTAGACCAGTGTGTCTGTCTCCTGTTATCATCAACATACTTCTTGTATATCACCTAGAACAGAACACGGTTTATGTACACCGGTGTGTCTGTCTCATGCTGCCATCTACAAACTTCATGTATATTACGAAGAATAGCAGAAAGTCTTTGTAGACCAGTGTGTCTGTCTCGTGTTATCATTAACATACTTCTTGTATATCACCTAGAACAGAACACGGTTTATGTACACCGGTGTGTCTGTCTCATGCTGCCATCTACAAACTTCATGTATATTACGAAGAATAGCAGAAAGTCTTTGTAGACCAGTGTGTCTGTCTCCTGTTATCATCAACATACTTCTTGTATATCACCTAGAACAGAACACGGTTTATGTACACCGGTGTGTCTTTCTCATGCTGCCATCTACAAACTTCATGTATATTACGAAGAATAGCAGAAAGTCTTTGTAGACCAGTGTGTCTGTCTCCTGTTATCATCAACATACTTCTTGTATATCACCTAGAACAGAACACGGTTTATGTACACCGGTGTGTCTTTCTCATGCTGCCATCTACAAACTTCATGTATATTACGAAGAATAGCAGAAAGTCTTTGTAGACCATTGTGTCTGTCTCGTGTTATCATCAACATACTTCTTGTATATCACCTAGAACAGAACACGGTTTATGTACACCGGTGTGTCTGTCTCATGCTGCCATCTACAAACTTCATGTATATTACGAAGAATAGCAGAAAGTCTTTGTAGACCAGTGTGTCTGTCTCGTGTTATCATCAACATACTTCTTGTATATCACCTAGAACAGAACACGGTTTATGTACACCGGTGTGTCTGTCTCATGCTGCCATCTACAAACTTCATGTATATTACGAAGAATAGCAGAAAATCTTTGTAGACCAGTGTGTCTGTCTCCTGTTATCATCAACATACTTCTTGTATATCACCTAGAACAGAACACGGTTTATGTACACCGGTGTGTCTGTCTCATGCTGCCATCTAGAAACTTCATGTATATTACGAAGAATAGCAGAAAGTCTTTGTAGACCAGTGTGTCTGTCTCCTGTTATCATCAACATACTTCTTGTATATCACCTAGAACAGAACACGGTTTATGTACACCGGTGTGTCTGTCTCATGCTGCCATCTACAAACTTCATGTATATTACGAAGAATAGCAGAAAGTCTTTGTAGACCAGTGTGTCTGTATCCTGTTATCATCAACATACTTCTTGTATATCACCTAGAACAGAACACGGTTTATGTACACCGGTGTGTCTGTCTCATGCTGCCATCTACAAACTTCATGTATATTACGAAGAATAGCAGAAAGTCTTTGTAGACCAGTGTGTCTGTCTCGTGTTATCATCAACATACTTCTTGTATATCACCTAGAACAGAACACGGTTTATGTACACCGGTGTGTCTGTCTCATGCTGCCATCTACAAACTTCATGTATATTACGAAGAATAGCAGAAAGTCTTTGTAGACCAGTGTGTCTGTCTCGTGTTATCATCAACATACTTCTTGTATATCACCTAGAACAGAACACGGTTTATGTACACCGGTGTGTCTGTCTCATGCTGCCATCTACAAACTTCATGTATATTACGAAGAATAGCAGAAAGTCTTTGTAGACCATTGTGTCTGTCTCGTGTTATCATCAACATACTTCTTGTATATCACCTAGAACAGAACACGGTTTATGTACACCGGTGTGTCTGTCTCATGCTGCCATCTACAAACTTCATGTATATTACGAAGAATAGCAGAAAGTCTTTGTAGACCAGTGTGTCTGTCTCGTGTTATCATCAACATACTTCTTGTTTATCACCTAGAACAGAACACGGTTTATGTACACTGGTGTGTCTGTCTCATGCTGCCATCTACAAACTTCATGTATATTACGAAGAATAGCAGAAAGACTTTGTAGACCAGTGTGTCTGTCTCGTGTTATCATCAACATACTTCTTGTATATCACCTAGAACAGAACACGGTTTATGTACACCGGTGTGTCTGTCTCATGCTGCCATCTACAAACTTCATGTATATTACGAAGAATAGCAGAAAGTCTTTGTAGACCAGTGTGTCTGTATCCTGTTATCATCAACATACTTCTTGTATATCACCTAGAACAGAACACGGTTTATGTACACCCATGTGTCTGTCTCATGCTGCCATCTACAAACTTCATGTATATTACGAAGAATAGCAGAAGGTCTTTGTAGACCAGTGTGTCTGTCTCGTGTTATCATCAACATACTTCTTGTATATCACCTAGAACAGAACACGGTTTATGTACACCGGTGTGTCTTTCTCATGCTGCCATCTACAAACTTCATGTATATTACGAAGAGTAGCAGAAAGTCTTTGTAGACCAGTGTGTCTGTCTCGTGTTATCATCAACATACTTCTTGTATATCACCTAGAACAGAACACGGTTTATGTACACCGGTGTGTCTGTCTCATGCTACCATCTACAAACTTCATGTATATTACGAAGAGTAGCAGAAAGTCTTTGTAGACCAGTGTGTCTGTCTCGTGTTATCATCATCATACTTCTTGTATATCACCTAGAACAGAACACGGTTTATGTACACCGGTGTGTCTGTCTCATGCTACCATCTACAAACTTCATGTATATATTCACGAAGATTACAGCAAAGTTTCCAGGCACCAATGTGTCTGGTTCGTGTTTCTATCGACATACATGTACTTCACGTATATTACGTAGAATAGCACAAAGTCTATGTACAGCAGGTGTGCAGGTGTGTCATCATCAACTTACTTCATGCATATACGTAGGATAGAACACGGTTATTGTACACCAGTGTGTCTGTATCGTGTTATCATCAACTTACTTCATGCATATAACGTAGAATCGAACGCGGTTATTGTACACCAGTGTCATCATCAACCTACTTATTGTATATCACGTGAAATAGAACACGGTTATTGTACACCATTGTGTCTGTTTCGTGTCATCATCAAACTACTTCTTGTATATGACGTGGAATAGAACACGGTTATTGTACACAGTGTTTCTGTATCGTGTTATCATCAACTTACTTCATGCATATTATGTAGAATCGAACGCGGTTATTGTACACCAGTGTCATCATCTACCTACTTATTGTATATCACGTGAAATAGAACACGGTTATTGTACACCATTGTGTCTGTTTCGTGTCATCATCAAACTACTTCTTGTATATGACGTGGAATAGAACACGGTTATTGTACACCATTGCGTCTGTATCGTGTTATCATCAAACTACTTCTTGTATATGACGTGGAATAGATCACGATTATTGTACACCAGTGCGTCTGTATCGTGCTACCATATACAAACCTCTTGTATATCACGTGGTATAGAAAACGGTTATTGTACACCATGTACGGCCAGTGCGTCTGTATCGTGTTATCATCAACACACCTCTTGTATATCATGTAGAATAGAACACGTATATTGTACAGCAGTGTTTCTGTCTCGTGCTACCATCAACACACTTCCTGTGTAGTATCATGTAGAACAGAACACGATTGTTGTACACCAATGTGTCTGTCTCGAGCAGCCATCAACACACTTCATGTATATCAAGTGGAATATGTAATGGTTTCAGTACACAAGTGTGTCTGTCTCGTGTTACCATCTACATTCTTCATGTGTCGCCCATAGAATATAGAACAGGGTTTCTGTGTGCAACTCTTAGATTTTTATTTACCACAGAGGAGCACGGACGATTAGTTTTGAAGACAAATTTATTTTAAAATATTTTCTATTTGCAGAGACAAAAATAGAAGAAACGGATATATCACGAGAAATATAATGAAATGTACAAGCGTATAATCACCCGCAGCTCTAAAAAGAATATACACCGCCAGAAATGCCACATAAATATGTTTAAGGGGTGAAACAAGCCAGAATCGAAGTTCGTAATTCCGTACCTATTTTATGTGCAGTATATATAGTATTGGCATCAGGCGTTACGTTTCAAAGGCAAAATCTGATGGTGTGTATTCATGAATCTAGCATTAAATAAAGTGAACAAATAAACAACATGTCCAATGCTTCTGATATTTTCATACAAAATGAATTCTAACAAGCAAACGAAATAACAAAGTAATCATTATGAAAATAGGGGAATGTATAACTCTGAATTGATATAATGGACAATCTCTATCAGACAACCTACATTGTGATACAAACGAAGAATGAAAAAGGAAATGAACATCATAATCTCTGTACAATTGTCTATTCTCAAATATCACACTTCATGAAGTTGAATTCCTTGGTTAAGTGGCTCTCTCCCTCCCAGGTGGACACCAGCATGATCATGATAGTTCTTTCTTGTCAGTTAGTTGAAGGAATTTATCTGTATCCCCGGACGGAAGTGCTTGTTTGTCACGTGCCATATGCATCATTTCACGTGATGCACCAATAAAACATTTCTTCTTTCACGGATTTTATTTACAATAAATGAGAGTAAACTTAGAATGTTTGTACGGCTGACGGTCCTACGTTTCATATTATAATGAATGTCACACAAGGATACTGTTTATCTTGTCACGAGTCTTGAAAAAAATGTTGATTTTTTTTGTCACGTGTCCTCTGTTGTAAGGTAATATCCCGCATTGTGGTAAGAGCAGTTCCACTTGAATTTCCGCCTTCAGTCAAAACACTGCATTCCATTTACAGGTATGTTGTCAGTTTCAGCATCAAAGTTCCACTCACACTAGGCGTGAGTATCTGAAGAAGAAACGGGGTATCAGAACATGGAGTTGAAAACTAATTAGGAATGGATAAATAACTAAATTCCCATAAGTTCCTTGGTGTTTTTGTAACATATATTGAACAAAACAAGTTAGGGATCACGAACTATCTTTTTAATAGGACAAATTTAAAGAAACTCATTCTTCACTACAAAATAATATCCTCAAAATATTCATTATCATAAACTTTTTTGTTTAGTAAATGTTCTTATAAACATATTTTAAACATAACTCAAACATAACATCCTCATTCAAAACCTCTGAACATGGTCGGTTCCATAGCAATCAATTATTTTCTGAGTTTGGTTGTTCGCTGGTAGTTGTAAGTTGTTGGTTCTACCAACAGCTGTTATTGCTGGGAACAGCCTGAACCAGCTGGAGGTGTTCTCCTAGCTGATCCATGATCCCATTCAAAACATACATTAACACGCTTACACTTTCAGAGAGACGGGTTTAACGCTGCTTTGAACATTTGTTTTCTGTTATCGGGGCGTGTCATGAAGGTGAGAAACTCCAAATGATGCAGGTTTGAGATAAGTGACAAAGAATCAGATTGGAACCCACGATTAGTAGATTCTGGCACGACTAGGACAAACAATTATTCTCAGCAAGTGACGGTGACTTTAATGACTGGACCAGTCTCTGTCCCATCAGACTGTGAGGTTCAATATTTAAGATTTAAATCAACGGATTTGGTCAGCCCCACAAATGTATGTGAATGTTATTTCACGTCACAATCAGTCATACCCCAGCGTCCGTAACTAAGCGATTGATGAACAAAGTCATGCAATCAGCCAAATCACCGAACCTGCCCACCGAACCTAAGAACTCCTTTGTTACTGTGGACCTATTCTAACCCAGTATCACCACGGGAGTACTACTGTGGTTAAAACAACCGGACAGATTCGGGTAATAAGCAGTGGAACAGCTAATGTATAGCTGCTGCAATCATACTGGCGACCCTCGTCCAACTGACTGGACACAAAGGGTGAACATCGCACCAGCGTCCAACCAAACACTGAGTGAGTAACGTCAGATACGTACACAAGAGAAGAAGCAAAATACACATCTACTTACGTTCAACCTCTTACACCGTGGAATCCGAAGTGTGGTTGTCGTTTACTGTTGAGCAAAGCGGAATCTGAAAAAGGTAGCAAAAAACATAAAGGAACCGCCCTCTTCACGATATTCTGCAAGAAGGTCAGATATTTGTACATGAGTGAGTCTTTAAAAGTTTAATGAGATAGACGATGAGGATGCACCTACTTATAACAAACAAACACGGTTGTCAGTTCAGCATGCACTTATGTATAGTGACATCTCGTCAGCTGGAACATATTTAACCTCGTATACTGAATTTCCTTTTAACCTCAACTCAAACTTCTTTAGCCTCGTCAGCTCGAACTCCTTTAACCCCGTCAACTCGAACAGCTTTAACCTCGTCAACTCGAACACCTTTAACCTCGTCAACTCGACCTCCTTTAACCTCTTCAACTTAAATTCCTTTAACCTCTTCAACTCAATCTCGTCAACTCGAACTACTTCAATCTCGTCAACTCGATCTACTTCAATCTCGTCAACTCGAACTACTTCAATCTCGTCAACTCGAACTTCTTTAATCTCGTCAACTCGAACTCCTTTAACCTCGTCAACTCGACCTCCTTTAACCTCGTCAAATCAAACCCCTTATCTCGATATTTCGTTTGTGCCGTTCACAGCATTTCATTCTTGATCTTCATCGATGACATGGTGCAATAACGACACTTGACACACCCTCGATTATCCAGTGAATTGTATCGTTATTACATTGCAACAAATACCCTGAATCCATTTGCAACCACAGCTTCGTTTCGGGTGCGACGTCACCCCTCCATCTATCTTATCACTTAGTACTGCACTTCTATCGACTGTAAGTGTAATTTGATTAGCAGCTATTATTGACATCGTGTCATCCGAACCGGACTCAAAACAAAGCTATAATGGGTCCAGGATATGTGTCTCGAACTGCGGATAACTGAATGCATTTTCGATGGTCCCCCTGACTTCGAGTTAACAAGGTTTTTAATTGAATATACAATTCCTGAAATAAATAAATAAATAAATAAATAAATAAATAAATAAATAAATATGTTACAACGAGAAGTAAACACACAGGGGCATGTACAGCCGTTTAGAATTGTTTCCAATACTGTCGTGCTTTGTCAAACAACTCACCTTGGCTGAGGCTGTTGAGATCAGATGCTCGGAAGGGTAATCCTCTAGCTCGCTCTTCGTACATATCCAAAAGATCTCTTAACGTAACAAAGGCGGTGGCATGATTCGTGCGTTTTCCTCTGCTTCCAACATATCCGAATCCTAGTTCTGTCCTCTTTCCTCTGCTGCCAACGTATCCAAAACGCTTGTCTTCGATGAGGTTCCTCCTGTAGCCTGCGGGTGCTCGTCTGAGTAGGGACCCAAAGCCGTAGGTTGAAGGACCCGCACTCCAGTTGGGATCGGGTGGGGCATCGAAGGCAAGGTTGAGGTCACCCTCCCGCTTCTCTGCTACTGTTGATTGATAGGCTGGTTGTAATAACTGCAAAGTAAGATTATAAAGCCGTCACAGTGATGTGTTTTGGAAGTATGTTATAGGTCACATATAAAAGAAAAATGAAATTAGCCTTCGCACTATCCCCTGTCTGTCCATCTCGCTTTGTCTCTCTCGGTGATTCGTTTTCTCTGCATCTGTGCCCAACCCCACTAACATCCCCCACCCACAAACTCAACTTTAGATTAAGGGCAGAACAGGACTAACCTAATTGTCTAAGACGCTACAGTTCGCCGAGTTGCGTCCTTTAGACGTGACAGAAATCTATGATCGTGAGTTAGAATCCCAGATTCGCTATGATTCTAGGTTTCCGGCAACTCCTTCTACATCAAGGGAGGGGGTCGGGGGCGGTATGGTAACCAGGTTGTTAAAGAATTCGCTCGTCAGGCCCGCAACCCGGGTTTGATTCCCATCATGGGTATAATGTGCACTCCGTTTCTGAAACCCCCGCCGTGATAAAGCTGAAATACATGTATTGCTAAATGCAGCGTAAAACCCAACTCTCTCACTCACTCACTCACTCACTCACTCGATCACTCACTCACTCACTCACTCACTCACTCACTCACTCACTCACTCACACTCAATCCTACATCAAGCTGACACAACGTGATATAGCTGGAATACTGTACAAGCAGCGTTCACATTCATTTCTATTTCTCAACATGTTTTGTGCATGTAATTTACCTTGTATAGACTTGCAGCTGTGTTATCATCTAATGCCTCTGCGTTGACCAATGCGAGAAGAGCAAATCCTGCCAGTACAAATATCACACCTTGGCTTGAGGACATGTTTGTTGAAGGTTGCTGGAAGAGGAGAAAAACGGAATCAGTGAAATGTGGTAGTATGAATACTATTGCAGTACATGGTGAAAAATCAAATGTTTTGACAGAAATGAAATCTGAAAAAAGAACATATATAAGCGAAATAAAGGACCTGTGAAGATCCGGGGTAGAATAGGTCTTCAGCAATCCATGCTTGCCGTAAAAGGCGACTATGCTTGTCGTAAGAGGCAAATAACAGGATCGGGTGGTCGGGCTCACTGACTTGTTTGATACATGTCATCGTATCCATATTGCGTGGATCAAGGCTCATGTTGTCAATCACTGGATTGTCGGCTCCAGACTCGATTATTTACAGACCGCCGTCATATAGCTGGAATATTGCTGAGTGCAGCGTTAAACAACAAACAAAACAAAAATACAAAATATTTGCTTTGAGTATCCCCATGGTATTTATTAATTGATGAATGAATTAGTAAATTAATGGACCCTGCAATGTTAGTCCATCAAACGTTGATATCATTGATGCATACAACAATCCTTACAAATATATTTACCATAGCTCGAAGAGTAAGTGAGTACAGTTTTGCCCCTTTTTTTTAGCAATATTCCAGCAATATCGCGGCGGGGGACACCACCCAATGGGCTTCACACATAGTGCCCATAAGGAATCGGACCCGGGTCTCCAGTGTGACGAGCGAACGCTTTAACCTCTAAGCTCCCACATCGCCCCTATAGCTCGAAGAATGACAGGCAGTTGACATTGTGGCACTTGTTTAGCTCACGCCGCCAACACATGTCGCGACAAATGCCAACGGGTGCATTCATAGAGAATACGAATTGACAAGAAAAATGCACAGACAGAAAAATGGATCTAAATCAAAGGATAGAATACATGTATTTGAACCATTAAATCCGTGTACATATCCACCAGTTAATCACACGTCCTTAGACACAGCACTTGATGTGAATACCATGATTACATCAACGCCTGGTCTCCAAATAAATGAATTCAATATTTATTGTGTCGTTATAGAGTATATTACGTGATTTAAAGATTTACAAATTCACACTTATATTATGGTCATAACATAATCGCGATCACAAATGGATCACGATGTGAATGGGTACCCGGTAGGATGAATGGTAGTGTGACTGTTAACCGCCTTTTGATGGCGCCTCACAGTAAGCTTAAGCTGCTTACTAACCGGGGAGCTGAGAATGAAAATCGAGTGCACACTTTTCCATTGACCTGGGTAAGAGCCCTTTAGGCATGCTTTCAGTGAGTGAGTGAGTGAGTGAGTATGGTTTTACGCCGCTTTTAGCAATATTCCAGCAATATCACGGCGGGGGACACCAGAAATGGGCTTCACACATTGTACCCATGTCGGGATTCGAACCCGGGTCTTCGGCGTGACGAGCGAACGCTTTAACCACTAGGCTACCCGACCGCCCCAGGCATGCTTTCAGATGTGCTTATAATATGGGTAAAATGTAATCTTACATAAAAGTTGCTACAAAAAAACGCTTTGTGCGGAGTGAACCTATAATAGGTGCATTAATCATGCATTTTTTAAAACACAAAATACAAAAGACAAGGCTTTCCCTTGTAGCTCTGGTGATGTGTGCTCTTTGTTTCCCAGCAACCCATATTGTTAATACATAATGATAGCAACACTAATATAATGAACTCCATAAGACCAATATGTATGTCTGTGAAAAGCTTTGTGACTTTACAAACATATGTAAATGGTTTTGTAATGAACTGGTTGACACACACATCAAACCAATTAATATCACAAAGAATAAATGTGTTCATCACAAATAACATAGCATCGTGTTTGCTGAATTCTACTTGCAAATGAAACCAGTCGATCGAATCGTATTATACATGTACAGGACGCTCACGGTTAACTGCGCAAGTGTATGTACATAAACCTTCACCACGTACCATGATCTTCATTGAGAGCATGTCGGAACTACGAACTAACACGGACCAGTAAGCACATGCTGAAAAATATACCATCGACCTTCAAACTGAAAATGTGTGTACACTGTTAACAGTACCCACCTAGGTCTGTTGTTTTGATCTCTATGTTGTTTATACCATTGTGCTAAATGTTGCTAAACGCGTACGACAAAGGAGCAATTACAATAAAGGTTCGCCCACTTCTCCATGAGGCACGCTGCATGCATAAAATACATTCAGCTGTGTACGACATTAACTTGTTTTCTTGCGTTCCCCTAGTGCTTTTCCATAGGACATCAATCAGGTGTAAAACATTTTTTTATGATTCTCTGTTATTCTGATGAGCTTGCGCTGCTGTCGTTGTGATTACCTTCTTTGTATTCAAAACTTGTAGAAAGTCTGCAGCACTGTTTTCCTTATAATCTGATTTCTCATCTAATTCGTGAACAAAGAAATTCAATTAGAGTCATGCGGGCGAATAATCGATCCAAAAAGCGGGGATTGTTATTTTATTACATATTAGTCTGGCATAAAAGTATTTTCTATTCATGTGAGATGATTTAGTAATTAACGGGTTTTATTGTTGTGTAATAGTAGCTGTAAAGGAAGCGCCACAGAGCTATGAACGTAAATTCCGTTCAGTCATCATAGAAAACTAATCAACACAGCCTCTGCTTTTAATGTGAGGTACAGTTATCTTTATCTTAATTTTCATTTCATAAAAGCTTTAAGTGGCATTAACAGAGCTAAAAAATGATGTTTGTTCTAGGAAAATGTAACTAACCCATACCATAAACGATTGACAATATGTATGCCCATATGAGGATCAAGAGGGGCGTGCATAAAATTTAATTAGTTCTGTTTGCTATTTGTTTAACGTCTCACCAGCAATAGTATAGCAATATGACGGAGGCCCGTAAATAATCGTGACAGAATCTCCATCAGCATCATGACCCAAAACGATTATTCAGTTTGTCACGAACTATGGATGACTCGATGATCTTCGAGTTAACAAGGTGCATGTATCACTGTATACTCAATGACCTGGAACATCTGGGTTAGAATAGGTCTTCAGCTACCCATGCTTGTCGTAAAAGGCGACTATGCTTGTAGTAAGAGGCGACTAACTGGATCGGGTGGTCAGGCTCGCTGACTTGGTTGATGCATGTCATCGTATCGATGTATCGATGCTCATAATGTCAGTCACTGGATTGTCGGGTCCACACTCGATTATTTACAGACCACCGTGAAATAGCTGAAATATTGCTGAGTGTGGCGTTAAACAACCATCAAACAAACACATTAAGTTGCTGATAATAGGTGTAGTGTTATTTAAAGGTACAGACGCATACAAGTAATTACTTGTTGCTGTTTATAGTTTCAGAGACGCAATTCACAAGGACGTAATTTCGAATACAACACCAGCGCTATCTAGGTTTGCAACAAAGTTGACGCCTATATGTGCTGAGCTCGTTTTGCAAAGATTTCAAATCAGCGCCGCACTCTCTGGGTGTATACGGTTGCTTGGTGATTACTCGGCTGATTGCGAGGCAAAACACTTCTACACATTTTCACCGATTTAAGCTGGACCATCTAGCACTAACAACTCAAGTCGCCTGGAAGTTCATCCGGGCACCTAGGATGAATCAAAAATACCCAGCGGCTCAAAGAGGCGGATTACAGGACAATAGATTGCCAGCCATCGTCAATTTTTATATATCCTTCTGGGGAAAAGTGAAGTAAGAAGCAAATTAATCGAACGCATAGTTGCGCAAGTCGACAAAGGACCCCCTTTCCTGCGGACACTACCGCAGGGGATAGATCACCGTTCTTAAGGCCTATTCTGGCCAATATTTGCAAAGCAGAGAGATTATCGTCCGTCTGCAGGTGACTATATATTAAAGAAATGCACTGAAAGAACAAGGTTATCTTAAGGTTTCGTGCATGCAATGAGAACAAATTATTCCAGTTGATGCAGTCGTATATATTATGTTTTTCTGTTATTTTAACCCGCATTTCTCTAGATGTAGATTATGATCATATAAAAACAAAAGCTCTGTAACTCATTTGGTTTTCATTTCCATTGGAATCAGGATAGCGTGTGCTAACCACATCGCAAAGACGTGCAACTTAAGGACAGACAATAGTTTACTTGCTATTGGAAACTTCTGCCCAAATTGAAGCCATAGTGGATTAGAAAACCTTCAAACATGTGGGCAAACAGAACTTGTTGATTTGACAAATGTTTGACCAAGCCTCGTGCTCAAACTCTCATCAATCACCTTGAACGTAATTCATTCTGCTCCATTTGGTAATTTTATTTGTTTTTATAAAACCTTTTAAGACTTAAATACTCGGGTCCTCCTTTGACGTTAAAACGTATTGGAACCGAATGAAAACACGGTCGTTAATGGTCTCTCATAAAGCGCCATTCTGACATGTTTTGAAACTGGTGAATTTTTGTATGACTCTTCGAATGTTCCGACAAGTGACTTTAGTGTTATATATTTAGTTCAAATAATCACACAGCAACATATCCTAATTCTCAAGCTAAAGCCCTTTATTTAGCGCAAATGGAATTTCTATGTAGAAATCAAGGTTACTAAAAGCAGCAAACCATGTCGGCATAAACACTTATGATCGTGCCTCCTATTCAATGGACCTAGCGAAACATACATGACAGGAAATCGGCGAGTTACATTGTTACGCTACTTTGGTCCAAATAATGTCTAGTAGTTACGAAATAATCCAAGGTCCTTCCTTTTCCATTTTTAACAATTCCGAGCACAACATGTTTATCCCTTATCAATCTAAGTCAATAAATTTTGTTTTTGAACCCTTTTCGTTCTTTTAATTTTAAATCTTTCTTAATTATTTTGTAATTCTGCAACGATTATACCATATCAGTTTTCTCTGGTTTTATTCCTTAGGAATTTCATAGGTTACAAGCGACTCTCTGATTACACCTTTGTCTCTTCTCTCAAAAATTGCTGTCTCTCTTGCCATATACTCTCATTCCTATTGCAGTCTTACATAAACCATTCCCAATTCCCCA